GTGCTCTTCAGCATGGAAAGCAAACTTTCTAGCAAAATGACAGTGGCACCCACGTCTGTGTGTTGCGTCCATCTCATTGGTTGGGTCATCTCCAACAACCTCAGCAATCCGTTAAGCTGGTAGCCATTTTCTTAACAAACGATCCGGCTTTAGTCACAAGTGAATTTATGAACAATCTTACACTTTTACGACCTACTAGCACACACCAGCTGGATAAAAATTTACACTGTCGGTAGTCACTACAAGTCTTGCACCAAAAGCCTTGTAAAAGTGTGGTAACTGAGGTCGTAATATCGCAAAAATATTAAATTTGTGATCTTATTGCAAATTCACGAGGCTACAGAAGCTAAAACATCAGACCCAGCAAACAACGTACACTAACGAAAGGAAAGACATAAAATCCGCAAAAGGAATACACTTTGATGGGGCTTCATAAATGAAGGAACCCAAATAATTGTCATGGAATTCGAAACCTAACTCTACAGGAGGGATCAACAACGGTCGATATTAGCCTACTGTGTAAAGCACTAAAATTTTGTTATGTGGTTAGAAATCCGTGAGAATATTTGTTGTTCGGAATGCGGATGAGGGTATGCGGGTGTTCTCCGAGCTGGCTGATTTGCCTGCAAACGTTTCATCGTCAGGCTAGACGACATCATCAGTACGATTTATACGGGCCACTTACAGATTCCAGTGATTATTGAGCACTTGATTCGAATGTCAGGAGTCGACTGGTCCACGTGAGCTGACCGCGTAGTCAGCTCTTGCGTTCTGTTGGCTAGAGTCTGCCTCAATGACGTTCCATTGGCTATTTGACTTGACCCTCAGTGCTTCGTAAGCACTATCTAGATCTAAGTGTTTTTCTTGACTGAGTTATTCCCCGGGTATCAAGTCTCGATGAACTCGCGTGGCTTTCCGCTTTCTGCACTGCCTATGATCCTGACATGCTACAAATCAACCTGAGGATTCTCGGCGTCCATATATACCGACATCAGGGAGTTCTGGTCGTGTCGGTGGATGCCTAGGCTATGCTTATGTAGCCTAGTGCCGAGCTTTCTTCCTGTTTGGTCCACATAGTATTTGTTACAATTTTTTCTACTACATTTCTGAATCAGAGTTGCTCACAAGCCGCGCGAAACTATCCGAACAAGCTCTTCAATGGTATGGACCGGCTTTGCAAAGAAGAAACAAGTGGTGTGATTTACAAAATCTCCTCTATTGTTTTGCTGTAGTTAGGAAAGTATGGCCTCAATATGAACATGGTATTTTTCCTGGACCCAATAATATTTTCTAATCTGTTGTTATACTTGAAGGCAGGAAACTAGCTCTACCCAGTTTAAACTCTTTCACACTCTCTTTCCAGAGTGGCTACTTCGGTTCACAGTAGAAAAGCCAGATAATAACACAAAATCCCAAAGACGTCCTATGAAATTCGATGTTAAGGTGTCGCCGTGGTCATCATACTGCGGCCCCTTCTAAGGCCGTACAGCGTATATTTAAAAATGGCCATGTCCAATTCTTAACAATAGTCCTGATAAACCGCAGTAAATAGAGTTTTCTTACGGAGAGATCCAGCGTAACAGGTGAAATACAATTCTTTGAACATGCAGCTTCTCTTGTTGGGGTCCGAAAGACGATGAACACGTTTGGTTGGACACACTTTCTGATATGGCTAGGAGTCGACCTCATTGACCTTCCTTCTGTGAGTTTTTTGTCCCACCCCATCCCTCTTAGCCTCCCCCTGCAACGACCATCTCATTATTTAGCTTTATATAATTGCGCACAGTATTTTTTTGACGTTCAGTAGCCGACTGGTAGGTTACCGGAACGATGCCCATCCGTTCCCGGTAGCTCAGTCGGCTTGCACCAGTTGCATTTTTTCTCCTTTTTCTGTGTATTGCTGCACAGTAGCTGAGGTGTTTCCCACCTCTAGCTAACGTGTATGATGATAATGATGTTGACAGTGGCGTGGCATATATCGTCATCCTCCTAGGCATGCAAAACACCTACGAACGTGTGTCACAAAATTCATTGCTGTCCTTCCTGTACTCTTACGGATTCAGGATCCATTGCTAACTCCGTTCAAAGTTTACATGAAAGACCAGATACAAAGTTGCAAACCATCATAATTTACACTCTTCAAAAACAAGTCACAAGTGCAGTCGTCCAGGATTATGGGCTTGGACCACGGCTCTCCTGGATCCAAATAAAAACATACGCGATCCCATAAAACACGGATGAGCATACCTGTTTGTGGAGTATAAAATTCTTAGTTACCCATTTCCGCATACCATTCTTGAGTTAAACCACGGGAATAAACATACGAATTTATCCCCGTTAACATCTTAGACTGAAACATGGCCCATGAAATTCTCCTCTGAAAAATAACAAGTGCTTGTATGTGGATACTTCATACCTGTTGGCTCTGTCACTAATGCTGGTACCAACATTCCAGACTGCTTTCCAATAACAGACTTTTAGTAATATGCTCAACCACTCGCAGTTTTACAAGCATGTCTCAAACCAGAGAAAAAAGGCAACTAAATGTTCAAAGCAAGGAGTCCTTCACTCTACTGGAACCACGTGTATAATTGTTTAAGCTATCGCATAACACGAGCGACTGAACAATTTGCCCTGGCGTGACCGTTGAGCAGTTACAAGCTTGGAGACCATAGCTTGGAGAAGGCTTCTCAGGAGGGTGACCTGGGTGTATTGGTACATGAAGATCTCCGGTGTTCAAAACAAGCCGAGAATGCGACCAAAACAAGCAATCAACACTTCCGCCTTCTCCACGTAGCTTTCGGTCAGTTTGAACCCACAATCTTTCCCCAAATGCTTAACACCTACATGCGACCGCAAGTGGAATATGCTATTCAGGCGTGGCAGCTGTGGCAGAAACGGGATCTTGTTGCTCTCGAGACCCCTCATTGAAGAGCAACCAAGAAGGTCAGATGCCTCTTCCATCTGCCATATCAGATTAGACTGAAATCTCTAAGAATGTACAGCAGTCGATTTCGGCTTTTGCTAGGGGATCTCATAATACTTAACCAAATTCTGTAGAATCCAAACCACACCTGCCGTCTGCTGCTGGAATTGAACCACAACACTAAACTATGAGGTCACTATCTGAATCTGATAACAGTATAGTCGGCTTGAATGCAGTAGGAATTTTTTCCCTCCGCGTGTGCCAGCCTTGGAACGCCATCCCTAATTATGTCGTCTCTGCTCCCAACCTGACGATGTTTAAAAACGTGTTAACGATGCATTGTCTCATTTGCATTCCATTTTGTGAATTGCTGGGCAGGGGCTACAAAACGCAACCAAACAGAGTCTTGCCAAACGCCTAACTAATGGAATAATGGATTTATACGTTTATTACACGAACATCTCCTCCATTTCACATAAGTCTATGGTGAGTCCACCACAACGCACTTCACTTTATTATGCAATTGATTTTCGCAATAATTTCCATTTCTACGGGAGTTGTTAAGCGATGCTTTTTTACCCGTAATAAACCATTGTTCCCATCCTGATTGACCGCTATTTATACCCCCGACGGTCCCAATTAGAAATATTTAGGATGTTTTGCCGGCACACTGCAACTTTTTTCAAGAGCAATCTTCACAAATGCGCACATTTATTTTTTATGGTTACAAATACTGTCAACAATAAGTGCAAAGCCATTCCTAGAATTGCAATTACGTAATGCCAAAAGCGTACTTCCAAACCGAAATTTTAACTGACCGCACTTCGTCCTAAATGTCTCCAAATTGGACGGCCATGGTGTAGCAACCCAAAAGATATTTCTTATCTTTTCAGGTACAACTTTGTTACTCAATCGTTCATTGTTAGTTTTTGTTTTACCGCCAACTCTACGGCCATTTTTATCTACGTCCGTCTCATCAGTTGCGTCCAATGACATACACTCCCGTCGCTTCATTCGTTTTTCGGACGATTGTAGCTTCCCACGAATACAATCCGTTGTTTTCGTTCTTCCGCTTTTCTGATATCCGCATAAGAGCATGGACACCCTCGGAGTAGTATATACTAGGCTTACAAATTGGTGAGCCTGAATCGCACGCGCAAATTTTCAGTTTATTTAGTCTGTTCTTTTTCGGTGAGTGTTTTCCAAGTCATATTTTCCTAATCCCTAGTGGATTATTTACCGTCCATTTGTTTTTAAACTTCAGTCCTATTTATCGTATACCATGTCTAATGCCGATGTGAACCCTGAGTCGGGCGGTAGCATCAAGTTGCTGATTTTGGCCATTCCGAATTTTATGACACACGAACCCAACATCTGGTCTGCCATTTTTGAGATGGAGCTAAAAAACAGAGGAATATCTACCAATCAAGCTAAATACAGACAACTCGTCGCACGTCTTCCGCACCACGTGGTTACACTGATGGAAGATGCACTGCTCTTCCACCAAAGGACGCTAAATACGAAGCGATGAAGTAATTGATCCTAAAATAGTCGCAGCCCAGCGCTCGTGCTCGATTGGAGCAACTGATTAATAGCACTAACCTAGGCGCTCCCAAGCCTTCAGTCTTGCTGCTTGATATTCAGCAGACAACTGGCCCTTCGCACATGAGTGAAGTAGCTTTAAAAGAACTGTGGCTCTCCCGCCTACATGATGCTTTTCCTTTAATTCTCGTAGCTTACTCAGATGGATCACTCAAAGAGCTGGCCATGACCTCAGACGCAGCATTCGAGCGAATGGCTCAGCCCACCAAAGTATCCGGTACCATTTTTGCCACATTAGCTGCTAGCGAGTTTAATACGAAAGCGCCCGCGTAAGAAGATCCGACAGACGAAAACATAAAACAAAAAAATGCGTCAGCTTATACGCCGTAACGGCGCTTCGCTGCAGCGCGACCACCACCAGTCGCGCGCGGGCTGAGTATACCGCGAGGACGCCCACCCCTACGCGGATTCGAACCGGCGACCTTATGGTTGGAAAGCAAACGTGCCAACCACTCGGCCACCGGCCGAAAACATAGCCGCGCTTCGAAGTAAAATAGCAGCAATGCAGCTAGAAAGAAGGGGCTATTTGATACCGTTCGCCGACCACGAAATAACCGCGATTCGTCACGGCACGTAACAGTCCCAACCTCCACCGTACAGAACCAGGTCACTGCACAGACGCATTCCATCACCCTCTCGTAGCCGAAACCGAAACGCCAATGTAATGAATGATCTGTGTTGGTATCATCGCAAGTATGGTGACGATCCTCGCGGTTGCCGTTCACCTTATGCCAAGTGTGGTGTAGTGGCAGAGGGCAACTAGTTCAACGGCACGTGAATACGGCCGACGCTTCAGGCAGCGACAAAACAGGCGGTCTGCTTTACATCACGGATCACACGTCAATTTCCTAATCTACCCAGGATCTGAATTGAGCGTTATCCCTGCCAGCGCACAAGACAAGTGTTCGAAGCCCACGTACAATCTACGGACAGCCAACGGCTCACCCATAGTTTCAAACGGTCAGCGCATTATGAACCTAGATTGAAATCACCGCAGAGATTTGTACTAGGTAATCATGGTTTCATCAGCACGTATCACAATCATCGGCATCAATTGTCTCCCCCATTTCGGATTGTTTGTCAACGCATGTCGCCACAGAATTTTACTTGACCGTACAAAACTAGGTGTTGATAGCGTCCTTTCAGATGCCTCGATAATCAGCCATGTATTTTGGCTCGGACGCACCGTCTGACCAGGTGTACGTGCTCTTGGAACACGCGCGACTAGTTCGACCGGCTGCAGGGGTTACGCCAGTCACGACAGAGGTCCTCCCCACATAGTGCAGCGCGGTCAACCAGCTAACGCACGACCAAGATGGCTTGCTCCAGACAAACTGCGTGCAGCACGAGCTGTATTCGACCACTTGCTTCAGCTTGGTATCGTAAGACCGTCCAACAGCCTAAAGGCGGCGCCACGCCACATGGTTTCGAAGAAGGTCCTAGGGGACTGGTGTCCTTGTGGCGACTGCAGAACCTTGAATATGATCACCACGCCCGATCACTATCTGATCCCATACAGCATGGATCTCACCGTCAGTCTGGCTGGTAAAACTTTCTTTGGCAAAATCGACTTGGTGCGCGCATACAAACAAATCCCGGTGGCTGAAGCGGACCTAGCTAAAACTGTCGTGACAGCTCTAATTGGTTTGTTCGGATTCCTGCACATGCTATTCGGTCTAAAGAATGCCGCGCAAACTTTTCAGCGCTTCATCGACCAAGTTCGTCGCGGCTTAGACTTTGCTTATGCTTATCTCGACGACATTTTAATCGCGAGCTCTTCACGAGAAGGGTACTTGCGTCAGGTTCGAACACTTTTGGGCATGTATCACAACACGGGCTGACGTTCAACGCAGAAAAGTGTTCGTTTAGTGTCGAATCAGTCAATTTCTTCGGCCATCGTATCTCCTTTGCTGGCGTCTTGCACTGCAGGATAATATTCAAGCCATCACCGACTACCCCGAACCTCGTTCTTTCAAACAGCTTAGGCCTTTTGATGGGCTTGTCAGCATTTACCGACGGTTCATACCAAGCTGCTCGTCGCTGATGCAACCTCTCACGAATATACTGCGGGGGAAGAACAAAAAATTAGAATTTCCTGTAACAACACGCGCTGTTTTTAAATCTCTGAAAGAGGCTATCGTCAACATGGATTCTATAACGCATCACGACTAGGCAGCCCCACTGTCTCTCAGTACTGACGCCTCGGACGTGGTAGTCCACGCGGTGTTGTAGCAACTAGTAGCCGATACGTGGTAACCCTTATGGTGTTACTCCAAACGCCTACAACCTACTGAATCTCGCTACAGCACGTTCGGTAGAGAACTACTGGGCTTATACCTAGCGATACGTCACTTTCCACATGTATTAGAAAGCCGCCACTTTCTCGTCTTCGTCGACCACAAACCCCTGAGTTATGTGCTCGGCTGGACTACCGACCGATCAGCTACAGAGTCGTGCCACCTAGACTATATCGCTCAGTTTACGACCGATATACGGTATGTCTCAGGTGTGCACAAAGTCGTCACCGATGCACTTTCTTGAATCCAAGCTATCTCCGCTGACGCCGGCACGGCTTTAGACTTGGCAGCCTTGGCCACAGCTCAACTCAGTGATCATGAGACTGATCTACTACGCAGGTCTCCCTCACTGGACATCCGACCCGTTCCACTGGCATTCTCAGATGGAATTATACTTTGCGATTTCGCTCTGGGCACGCCGCGTCCAGTCACCTCAAGCAAGTTTTGACAGACCGTGTTCGACAGGTTGCAAGGCTTGTCTCATCCAGGCGTACGTGCATCGGTTAAACTCGTAACCGCACCATTCTTTTAGCGTAACGTCTATCGGAACGCCCGTACTTGGGCAGCTGCTTGCCTTCCGTATAAACGCGCGAAGGTACACATGCACACGAAAAGCCTACCAGGCACGTTTCGGACGCCAGACGCACGTTTTCACCACATACACGTCGACCTCGTGGGTCCTCTGCCACGCTCAAAAGGCTTTGTGCATCTACTGACCTGTGTCGATCGATTCACTAGGTGGCAGGAAGCTATTCCCATACCTAACTGCCTTACGGAAACGCTAGCGAAAGCTTTTCTGGAGCGCTGGGTAACTCAATAATGCTACCGCTTCATTATGACCGCCAAGCGACGGTCACATTTCTCGTCGACTTTTGCCACATTGCTTAAAAATTTAAGCCGTCACCCCTTTCAGACGACGGCGTATCATCCGGCCCCTAACAGCCTAGTGGAGCGTTTTCACCGCCAATTGCATGTCACGCTACGTACGCACGCAGATCCTTCATGGTCTGAAACACTTCCCATTGTCCTCTTAGGCTTAAGAAACACTGTTAAAACCGATTTCGAAGCAACACCAGCGCAACTAGTCTACAGATGCACTCTGCGTTTACCTTGACAGCTCGTAGCACCAGCCCCGTCTAGTTCCTATTTTGGCTACGAATGTTACACCCATCGACTGTCTCACCAGATGCCTGAGCTACGTCCACCTGATCCTCGATCGCAGAAGGCACCAGTGTATGAGCCCGTGAAGCTACCTGTTCACACTCCTTCGCGCAGACGGTGTTTTACAGCCTCTTCAGTCGCCGTACCTAGGACCTTACAAACTGCTCACCATGCGAATAAGACGTACAATATTGACCGCGGTGGTCGACGCGAAGTCGTCGCCATCGATCCTCGGAAGTTTGCGTTTGTGGAAGAAACCACCTAGGCTATTTCGTCTAGTATTGCTTCGTGCGACGTCACAACTCACCGCACCAACTTTCAGCATCTTAGTGTAGTTCAGCGGGGTGAGGAGACCACTTCAAATTGCAGCGTTTGGTAGCAGCAAAGGTAGAGGTACTGTCGGTCTTTTGCTGACCTAGACAATATTTTGGGGTCCGACAAGCCCGCTTCAACAGCTCGTCGTAAAACATCCTGCCATGCAGTCAGTAAATAATAAATACCGAAGGGCACAGCGGATCCTATTTGTCGGCTACATACATTTCCGAACACGAACAGATACTCGTTTGCGTACGAATAGATTTTACGAACTTCGATCCACAACCGTATATGATTTCAAAGGCTACCTGGTTCACCCTTCTAGGAAGGGAGCTCTGTAGCAACCTAAAATGTATTTCTTGTCTTCTCAGGTACAAATTTGTTACTCAATCGTACAGTATTAGTTTTTGTTTCAACATCAACTCTACGGCCATTTTCATCTACGTCCGGCTCATCACTTGTGTCCACTGACGTACGCACTAGTCGCTTCATCCGTTTTTCGTCAGATTGTAGCCTTACTCGAATACAATCCGTCGTTTTCTTTCTTCCGCTTTTCTGGTATCCGTACCAGAGCAAGGATACTTTCGGACTAGTATATAGCAGTCCTACAGTGAGCATAAAAAGGTAACTCAGAGCGTCAAAACGGCACCCTTGCTGACTAAAATTAAGCTTGTACTAAATTAAAGACTCATGGCCAATGCAAATTAGCGTTACAGATGTATACTATTATTTTGCAAACATATATTGACAAATTCTGTCGTTAATTTTCATATTCACTTTTTGTCTCTGAAAATGAGCAAAAACAAGCGGACAGGGCTCACAATGGGACACCCGTGCTGGGGTACGTCGCAATCAACCAGTCACTTGAGTGAGACAGATTGAATCGCTCCAGAAAACATCCAGCGGTCATTCATGAAAGCTCAGTGAACGATCTACCGATATTAGCTATGAAGACCGCTGTGACCAACTTTAGTTAGACTGCCTATGGTTGCGCCGACTGAGAAACAATTTCATCCTATTTGACAATATTAAACAATGCCGAGTTTCCAAGACCGGAGCTGCCCTCAAACTGCGAAATTCCTCTAACTACGCTACATGAAATAGAGGGTATTCACTGCTCACACAGAGGTGAAACCAAAAAGCAAATCCCACGTTTTCCTGGTAAGGAATGCATATTTCTGAAAAAGTGATCATTATAAGTGTAGGAAGCTAAGAGGCTGACCAAATGTAAAATGAATTTGAAGTTTTCCTCGCCTAGCAGGAAGTGATGTAAACATCCAGTTTTAAAGTTTTAGGTTGTTACTAAGATTCTGAAGGTTTTTAACCCCAGATTTAGTGTGATATACACTGACTCAATGGTAACATTTTGAAGCGGAATGAAGGTTTATTTGAATTGACATCTTTTTAACGGAGCCTAGATGTGACGAATTTCTACCTCTCATATTCAACTCACCCTACTACTCTTCTGTAATCAGCACGCATAGCAAACTGCTTATACTGCCATAAGTTAATTGGCGGCTTGATTTCGATAACTCGTCGCATGGTGAGGGGGCTACCCGGTCCTCTGCACTGCAGTAACGTGTAAGTCAGTGGATAGTGAGTGGCGTTATATCACATCTAGTAACTTATTCACGATGGTCGTTGCCGTCCCCCGTAGCTCAGTGGTCTCAACCAAGGACTGGCCACGGTCGAGCTGCAAGTTCAAGCCCTACCAGGGGTCCGATGGAATGCGCACTGCTGACGATTCCCGAAAGGATGGAACGCGCGTACAGTGCCTTTCCGGGCGTGTGCTGGCAGTCTGAGTGAGCCTAGATGTGACGAATTTCTACCTATAGGAAACAATTTTATTTATCCTG